GCCTCACACCTCCTGATTTCGGAACATACTATGAAGCAACAGTAATTAAGACACTGTGGTACTGGCATAAAGACAGATACGTAGACCAATGAAACAGAATAAAGAGCCCAGAAATAAACCTTGGTGTACATGACCAAATGATCTTTGACAAGGATGCCAGACCACACAATGGTGAAAAGAAAGTCTCTTCAACAAATGGTGTTAAAAAAGTGAATATTCACATGGAAAAGAATGAAGTTTGACCTTACACCGTTTATCTTTTTATTTTTATTTTTTTACCTTTACCTTACACCATTTACAAAAACTGTCAAAATGGATTAAAGAGCTAACCATAAGATCTAAAACTGTAAAACTCTTAGAAGAAAGCATAGAGGACATTGAATTTGGCAATGATTTCTTGAATTTGACACCAAAATCACAGGCAACTAAAATAAAAATATACAAATGGACCACATCAAACTTAACTTCTGTGCATCAAAGGAAACGGAGTGAAAAGTCAACCTACAGAATAAGAGAAAATACTTGCAAATCATATATTTGATAAAGGGTTAATATCTAGAATTTGTAAGGAACTTCTATAACTCAACAATACCAAAAACAAATAACCTGATTAAAAAGTGGGCAAAGGACTTGAGTAGACAGTTCTGAAAACAAGACATACAAATGGCCAACAAATATATGAAAATATGCTCAACACCATTAATCATAAGAGAAATGCAGATTAAAACCACAATGAGATATCACCTTATATCCATCAGAATGGCCACTATCAAAAGAAAAAAAAAAGTTTTGGTGAGGATGCAGAGAAATTTAAGCCCTTGTGCACTGTTGGTGGGAATGTAAAATGGTCCAGCTGGTATAAAAAACAGTATGGGGGAATCCTCAAAAAATTAAAAATAGAATTGCTATATGATCTAGCAATCCCACTTCTGGACATATATCCAGAAGAATTCAAAGAAAGATCTTATAGAGATATTTGCACACCCTTATTCATTGCAGCATTACTCACTATAGTCAAATATCCATCAACAGATGAATGGGTAAAGGAAATGTGGAATATACATACAATGAAATATTATACGGCATTAAAAAGAGGGAGATATTGTCACATGCTACAATATGGCTGAACCTTTGGGGACATTATGCTAGGTGAAATAAGCCAGTCACAAGAGGATGAATACTATATGATTCCACTCATATGAATTATCTGAAGTAGACAAAATCACAGAAACAGAAAGTAGAAGTGGCTGCCAAGGGCTGGGGGAAGGGAACGGGAGGAAGAATTAGGATCTAATGTGTATAGAATTTCAGTTTTGAAAGATAAAAAAATTCTAGAGATCTATTGCACAACTACTGAACCGTACACTTAAAAATGATTAACATGGTAAATTTAATGTTATGTGGTTTTTTTTTTTTACTACAATAAAGAGTTAAGGTAAAAGAGCACAGTGTCTAAAAAAACCCAATTTCATTTCGAGGATATAAAGGCAAATCAGACTCTAGTGTAAAATTATTAATTAAATGATTACTCAGATTTGAAAGGAAAAGATGCGATGATAGAAATGTAGATAAAACAACTGTTAGATGAATAAAGGAAACAAAGGAGTTGTATGTTAATCCCTTTCTAGTCTTTTGATGTGACATTGTCCCACTACGGCCTGATGGTTCATTAAACTACAATCTAGGATTCTCTGTGTACCACTGCAGTGGGACATAACAGTTCTGTGGCAAGTTGTACCAAGAGGAAACTAAAAGGCTGATTTTATAAATTTCAACATTTTGCTCTAATTTACAATGCTTTCTCCGGTAGGGTCTGACTCATAGAATGTGTATGCCAAACCTTAATCAACAGCAGTTGTTTTTTTCTTTATTAGTGGAAAATATAACCACAAATGCATACACAGGGAAAAGGGATTGAAGGAGTCTGAATCAGCAGTACAGAAATGTGCAAAATTAGGTCTGTATACTTTTCTGATTTTCCCCCTTATTTTTTCTGACATTAAACAACACTCTGGTGAGGATGTAGAAATGAAGCACATCAGCAGGTCTTGGTGACCAGTCCTTGTCTGCCACAATGGGTCATGTCCCCTTGGTAAGCCATAATTCCTCTGCTCATTAAATTTCTCATCTGTGCAGAATGAGCTGTAGTAATATAATGAATACAACAGCAACACTGATAGTGTGCCTCTCAGGGATGTTCACTTTACAAGCACTGTCTCAACTGCAGGGTTGATACTGTACTTATCCTTGGTGCATAGATGAGGAAACTAAAGATCAGGGGTGACAAGCAGCTTGCCTAACAGCTTGCAGCTGGAGAGGGGTGAAGCCAGAGCAGACACTGAACCTGGGCTGCCAGGCTCTGACACCACCTGCTTAAACCACTACCCAGTACAATTCTAATGCAGAGATCTAAGGCTGGGAAGTAATTAAGGTCCCAGTAAGTGGTAGGCACTCAGGAGGTTGTGACACATTATATCACAATGACTCTTTGGTAATTATTCTCTTACTTTTTAAAATAAGAACACCAAAAGACCGCGTCATTGAGGCACTTAATCAAAACAACACTGAAAGCTGAATCCTATCTAAGCCTCTCTGTGCACCATCTCTAAGCTCTCTCCACCGTTTCACTTGTCAGTGCAGCTCTTTTTCCCTCTGTGGCTACCAGGCAGGGATGGGTTTTGCAGGGACTTGAAATGCTCAGGTCTTCTGTTCAATGACAGCCTTTAACTCACTCTATTATGGTGGCCCACAGATATGGAAAAACCCATGATTAATGGCCACTATGATAATTTACACTTTGTCCTAAAGAAGTTTTTATTGTCACGAAAGACTCAATTATTTTTCATTTTTTTGATATGTGTACTGATCCTGTTAAAATGTATTTCCTCATTTGTTTTATGAGAACAATTAAATATAGGGTTTTAACAGAAAGACAACTTTTCTTTTCAGGTGAGCCTGAGACCCTTTTCCTCAGTGTAGAGTTATCAAAAATTAATGGTTTCAGAGCTTTGCGGACCAAAGTGCCATGCCCAACCTCCTCTCCAACTCACTGTGGCACTTTGGATATACCTGCTCCTCTTCTCTGAGGTCCAGTCCCTCTGTCTTTTTCATAAGCACAATGATATTTTCCTCAAAGGATTGCTATAATAATTTAATTAGATAACAAATGGCATATAGGATGTGTTCAATAAAATTAATCCCTTCAATAAATTACTTAAGTTGTCAATTTATATCTGCTTTTGCTTAATATTAAGGTTGAAAAAACAAAATCAGGAGGGTAGGTCTAGAAATACTGAATAAACATTCAAGCAATGACCCTTTTTTCCCCTGCAGTTTTCTTTTAGGTTTTTGCTGCTACTGGACAGAAGTCAGGGAGGACGTAGACTCTGACCGTAGGAACGGTTAAGTCCTAGGATGAGAGCAGTAAAACTAGAGTCAGAAAAACAAAGTCCAACCTTCAGCACTTTACTTACTGATACTTACGGACTCTATGACCTCTTCAAATCATTTGAATTCCCTGTTCATGTTTTCTCATCTGTAAAATAGGAAAAGCAAAAATATCCATTCTGCTTTGTTTGCAGGCAAGAGCCAAACAGTAATGTTTTGCTCTTATGGATGCTTCTGTTTTTTTTTTTTCCCCTTCTTTTATTCATTCCATAGCAAGTTTGCTGGAGTTAAAGGCTTGTGTTTCATCTAATTTGTAACCACCAAGGGGTGCTTGAGAACTCCAGGATTCCCAGTTTTATAAAATCTAGCACGATCAGTAAAAAACAAACAACCTCCCCCAAAGTTATTTGTTTTGAAGAGATTATTTATCGTCTATGACACCATGTAATATGCTCCTCATTATGTGATATTAACTAATTATTTAAATATTTTAGTATTTCATTTAAGAGTAGTATCCACAGATCAGCCATTAGAAGAGTAATTTTTCAGTAGTCATTCACCTTCTGAATTGAGCTTCACCCCTATCTCCTTTAAACCATTAGAATTACATCTTTACACGGTTCAGTGTTGGTGTGAATACGTGCGTGTGAATATGAGTGTGTGTGTGTGTGTGTGTGTGTGTGTGTGTGTAGAGGGGGCTCCCTTCAGTATTCCATCATTTTCTCTTTTGGCATTTTGGGAATTGTTATTAAAGGATTTGATTGTGGAACGCTACTGTGTATTCACAGCATGATGTGAATCAAAATAAATCTATCCAAAGCATTTCATTTGTGGATTTGTACTACGGAAGCGCTAAAATAAGAAATGCTAATTTCTTGCAGACTATTACCCGATGATTTTAAATATCTGCCAAGCAGGAATGTCTGAATCCCGTGTGAGGAATTTCCATAATAAAATCCTGGCACCAGAGCTGAAGAGGATAGTTTTATAGAAACAGAGAAAAACAACGGCGGGTAGCGAATACCTTCCCCGAGGACAGTTTTAACTACAATTTACCAACGCTGTGTAGTTATTTCTGTCTTATTTTATGCTTTTGTTTTGTAACATAACGCAATTGTACCTGGATGCACTCCCGGACACTCGGGGGGAGCTCAGTGCGTTCGGCTGGCTCTGCCAGATGCAAGACCCCCGGAAAATGAGGACGCTCCACCGCCGCGCCCCTTCCCCCACCCACACCTCCAGCAGGGAGAGAAGGGTTAAGGATTATTGGAGAGCAGAGGGGAGGGAGCCCCCAAGAGCCCACCAGCGGGAGGCCGCGCCTCCTCCGGGTGCAGCGTTCCTGCCCCGCGCGGCGCGGCGGAGCTCGGGGGCGGCGGGGTGTTTGCAGGAGGGGACGCGGCTGCCCAGGCCGGGACCGCGGCCGCCAGCGGTGGGCGTGGCCGCGGCGGGGTCGGG